TATATCACACATGCGACAGCAAATGCAGGAGAAGAAGACCAGTGTAGCAACAGCCTCAGCAGCAGTAGGTCTCAATATAAACAAAGGGAAAAGCAAGATTCTCCAATACAATACAGCGTGCACCGATCGAATTACACTTGGCAGAGAAGCATTTGAGAATGTCAAAACCTTTACATATCTGAGCAGCATCATCGATGAACACAGTGGATCCGATGCAGATGTGAGGGCGATGATCGGCAAAGCAAGAGCAGCATATTTACAACTGAAGAAAATCTGTAACTCAAAACAATTGTCAACCAACACCAAGATCAGAATTTTCAATACAAATGTCAAGACAGTTCTACGGTATGGGGCGGAAACCTGGAGAACTACGAAAGCCATCATCCAGAAGATACAGGTGTTTAGTAACAGTTGTCTACGCAAAGTACTTCAGATCCGTTGACCAGACACTATCAGCAAAAACCTACTATGGGAGAGAACAAACCAGATTCTAGTAGAGGAAGAAATCAGGAAGAAGAGTTGGAAGTGGATAGAACACACACTGAGGAAATCACCCAACTGCGTCCCAAGGTCAGCCCTGACATGGAATCCTGAAGGCAAAGGAGAAGAGAAAGACTAAAGAACACATTACTCCGAGAAATGGAGACAGATATGAGAGGAATGGACAAAAGTTGGATAGAACTAGAAAGGAAGGCTCATGACAGAATGAGTGGGTTGGAGAATGCTGGTCAGTGACCTATGCTCCATTGGGGGTAGCAGGCGTAAGTAAGTAAGTAAAAGTAATATTTTTAGAGAAAAAAAAGTGTAAACATTTTATTGAATCATCAAAATTCAACAAGAAGTTCACTATCTGAATTTAATTTTTTTTCCTTTATGATAATGAATTATAATTCTTTGTATACTCTATCGATAGATATAAGTGGATGCGCACTGCTGAGGAGTCCCACAATAGGACACAATGGCCGTCCAGTGCTTCCAGGCTTTCCATGGTGGTCTAAGCTTCAATTGACTCATGATTTAAACTATGAAAATACTGAAATCTCCACAAAACCCCTTCTGAGATATAAGTTAGTTTTATAAAATATTGAAACTAAAACTAAAAATAGTTTGTATCTATCACTATATAATCCATAATAAATATTTGAAACCAGTTTATTTAAACAAATTTGTACTCCATTATTAAATTTGTTACATAACACTTAGGAAATTACTAAAAAGTTATATTAACTAATCACATGTTATTACTAAATAGAAGTTTACAAAACAATATTTATTCAGACAGGGTTTTTGTGGATATTATAGTAATTTTATTAGTTGAGATCATAAGTCAATTGAAGGTAGACTACCATGGAAAGTCTGGAAGCACTGAACGGCCAGGTTTTCCATAATGATCTAGCTTCGATTGACTCATGATTTCAACTATAAAAATATTTATGCAGTTCATACTATTCTATTGACTTATTATTTTTATTTATTTAAACACGTAAATATTGGTACAAGGAAGCGCCAGATATATATGCGCCATACAAATCTCATTCGATTTGTGCGAGGGCTGTGATACTGCCCAGGTGCCCAGACTAAAGCAGGTGGTTTTCTTAGGGGGCCACACCCGGAGCCTTTGACCTGAATGTCTGATCCACAAGGCAGTGGAGCATCGTGAGGAGATGCAGTCCCATGGTAGCCGGTGACCTACGATTGGTTAATACGCCATTTGTTCCTTCAGTATACTGGAGCCCATGTGCACCATTGTTTTGGAATCAGGGTTTTCCAACTCCCCTAGGTGGACTCGCCGTATCCACCAACCCGGTTAAAGGGCCGGATATTCGTTTTTCATCCTCTCAATTTCGTAAACAACACCCTCGATACAAGAAGGCAGTGATTAGGACTTCCCTGGCAGAGGCTATATACGCGTGGCGATGTGACAGTATTTCGAGGGGGAGAGCGGACTTTCTATTGACTCATTTAAATTATTTCAAATAGTCCTTTTTAGTTTATTTGTTTTCCCTATCCAACCATATTTTCCTTTCTTATTTTTTTAGCTTTCTTTAATGGTATTTTACATAGTGTAATTCTTCCACAGTTTAAAATTCTTACATAATTTAGGGAATTGATTGAATCAATGTAAAGTTTGTTTCTGTGAAATTAATTGCTTATCATAACTATTCAGTATCTAAGCCTTAAATCTCTTTTTTTTAAGAATTATCATTCTACTTTTACAGATAAGGCATATATTTTTATCAGTTTCATGATTATTGACTATATATATATAGTTCCTATATAAAGTGAAAACTTCAAATATTTGAATATAGATTTATAGACTTAAAATGACTGGAAGAAAATTTAGATGTATTCGCGTAGATAACACAATTAATTGAATGAAAAATCTATTCATCTACCATTCAGTTAGACAAAACGTAAATATGACAATTTATTATAGTCAGTAAGGGGTTGTGGAGATTGACAAATTTTATTGACACCGTTAAATACCAACTCAGTGGTCTAGAGGCCAAGTGTTCACTCGCATGATCAAAAGTCTTGGGTTCGAGTCTGTCGTGCAGAGTTGTGGGTGCACACTACGGAAGAGTACCATGCTAAGATAAAATGGCTGTCAAGTGCTTCCAAGTTTTCAATGATAATCTAACATTGATCGGTTCATGATTTCAGTGAAATTGATTGCATCTTTCTCTAAAGCTAACATCATTGCCTAACAAGGTTTATTTGTTTAACGAAAGTGATAATATTCGAAAATCTATCAAAACCAAAGTACGGTATGTACTAATCAAGTGCAAATACTCCCCTTATAAGCCACCCTCGGAGTTCGGAACTGGGTTACACAGACTCATTTGTGCAAGATTTTAAGATTAGTTTTTTAAAGATATTTACTGTAGGTATATTGCATTTCTTCTTACCAAACATTTGACTGTAATCCGTTAGTTGTTTCTGTTATATGGAGATAAATATTAATCAAAATTGAACTTTTAGAACGGTCCTGTTTGAAGTATTTTTCATACTGTTGTTGTATGATTAGTAAGTACTTAAACTATCATATTATTGTATTCCCCTACTTGTAAGCTTATGTTTAACGAATAATCTTTTGCTTCGCTTTGCGTTCCTCAAGTTTTTGTTAATTGATTATTAACCTATCGCTCAGCTCTTTTGTACTTACGGCGTAGTTATGCTTATATAGTAACTTCTTAATAATATTGATGTGTGGCCAGGTTTGTACTCTATATTTTTGTATGAGTGATTCATATATATGAACTATTTACTTAGAAGTTGTCAGCCTTCTGAGTTGTGTTCTATCTCAAGCAAGCTTGAGAAACTGCTTTCTGGACTGATAGTCACTTAATGTTATCCTTGGATTTATCTTTCCATTAAAGCATCATTTATTAGCTGAAGATCACTGGTACTAGACGTAGTCTAAACGAACTAATTGATACTCAGACTAGATGTATAAAATAGCTCCCTTGTCTTACGATCCTATTGTACAAGCTTCAAAAATAAACTAACAAGAAATATGTTTATTTTTGCCGACACATTAGTTTTATGCCCTCTAATTACCTCAGAATAACTTCAAATTATAAAAGCTATCGGCATTATGAAGTTCATAACAATTTCAGACCGTTGAATAAAAAATCACATTCCAAGGGCCGTACTACATTTGTGACATCAAATAAAATACATAAAGAAATAACTAAGCGTACTACCTGAAACTAAATGTAATTTATGTATAATCGGGTAGTGGACTCTCAAATTTACAATAAAAGCATTTAAACTGAAAGTGTTGCTTACAAACAATAGAAGTAAGTGTAGATGATCAGGTATCACAATGAAACTAGCTGGGTTATCTAAAATCGAAGAGTAAAAATAACGATGTGATTAAATCAATTACGAGTGGTTTAGTAAACTGTTTTTGAGTGCTGAAACTAAGATTTTTTAAAATATTCCTCTTCCTAAAAACTTTCCAGGAATTTGTCATTGGATCATAGTTATTTTTCTCTTTCAAAATACAGTTCCCTAACTAAACTGACGTAGCAAAACTTATCTTTAGTGAATGAGCCATGGCATTACAATGTGTCTGTGATAGAGCATAGTTTATTTGATGTCGGATACTAAAACTGTTTATACATGATGAACCATCTAATGATTTTTAATCTTTTAATTCATAAGCAAATCCTTACTCTTAGATGCCTCTCGGCTTTTTTTCACGATGATAATATCTACCATTTGACCACATAATATGTTACCGATCTTGACTATGATTAATAAAAAAAATGACTTTTCATCTTAGTAGAGTTATCAATGGAACATGTGACTTGGATGATGAATTTGGAATTTATTTTGAAAACTATTGCATAGTCAGTTCATAATCTGTTTGCCGTATAGACAATTATAAATCTTCATAAAATACATGTTTCACACTTGAATTTCCGAAAAGGCTTCTATTGAACTTTAGAATAGTTATTCTACAGTTAACATGTTAGTCATTATGATTAAAGTTCAAGGTAATCCTTTTTAAATCTATAACTTTCGAAATCTGATAAATTAGATAATCCGTCGTTTATTAGTTCTTAAATAGTTAATCATTATTTTATCAGATATATTCGAGTCTGTGTTTACAAACTGTCATTACCTCCAACGCTGATAAAAACATTATTATTGGATAGAGTTTGAATTATCCAGTTGATAATATTCTAGACCCAATTTCTTTCTTGAACACACACATTATGAGTGGATTGCTTCGATATAGCCATTTTGTTACTTATCTTTAAGATAGATAAGTTGTAAACAGCATTATGGTCAACGATACCTGATTTTTTCTATTCAATACTTGTTAGCTGTATATGCCTGGATTACTGTGTTTAGGATCATACTAGAAATCGAACTGTATACCTTTCGCTTCAAACGTTGTGTCATCTATTGATCTACCGAGACCAGACTCCTATTAATCCATCTACACTAATAAAGACAGATAATAAATTAATAGTTTATCGTTTGATGTTTTTTAGCATTTCAATAAACAGATTTCTTGGTTGTCTAATTTGTTGGTTGACATCAACACTATTAACTTATTTTATAATGTAATTGAAAATAGTTGGTTGTTCTGTTTATATAACCATTTATTGGAGCGTATGTTTATTTAAAATGTGCTAAGCATCATAGTATTGAAATAAACATGAATGACAGGAAATGATTCGAAATATATACTGACCTTGTGATATTTTAAACAAAGGCTCAATTTTATTAATAAATGTGCATGAAATGTTTACCTTATTCCTGTCAACCACTATTTCTACCTTTATTACTAACAAATTTTCACCCTAGAATTTTGTATCCAAGATACTTATCAAACGAATTGTCATCTTTTCACTTACATTTTTCCAGTTAAAATGTTTGTAAATTAATTTATTTAATTTGAGGGTACGGTTTCCCCAATTGTCCTTATCACTAAATATAAAACAGTAATGAACCGCTATGTATTCTACTTAATAAAACCCTTATCAGTAAAAGAATAATAATCATCTTTTAACTAGATCTATGAAGCAAGAATACCTGCCTGATCAGAAATAGTTTCTAAACCAATTAACTTATTTATGACTATCTGTGTCTTTAATCATTACACTTTTGAGTTTATTTCTAGTTTAAATTGGAAGAGTGATGATAACAAAAACAAAGGCATATTCAATGCATTCTAAATGTCATGATAAGAAATTTTTTTAAACTTCTTCATTCAATCTCTATCAGCTTTCTTTCATTGATCTTAACACTATATATCGAAGAATTGCAGGTAGGTCAGTTTACTTTTATATTCAGGGAAATATTAATGATTATATAAATTTCTTTTAAATATTAGAACAATGAAAATTAATCCTCACCATACAAAGAACAAACTCAACTTATTGAGGAAACTGCCAATCTTTTTCTTATAGAAAATCTCAGTTTAATTAGTCATAAAATAGTTTAATAGAAAATCAAACTAGAATAGAAATTAAATAGGAATAATATTGATGTTTGATTATAATTCCTTGAAAAAGCTTGGACCAGATTGCCAGGCAAAATGTTGAATTTACTACAAATACATTCGCTGAGATTTTACAAATATATTATTCCTATTTAATGTCTTGCATCAACTCGGCGCTCAAATGCCGTGAAACTATTCGCTCTAATTTAAACGAGAGTTCTTATATAGAATAGAAATTGTAAGCAAAGATGGATAGTGGCTAGCAGTGGAATCCAGGACACGCGTTTCGTCCTATTTGGGACTCGTCAGCTGGATGTACTTGCATCTCAGAGTTGATGTTCACAGTAGGACTCGAACCCAGTACCTTTCGCTTCAAACACCATCTCGTTACCCACTTGGTCACTGAAATGCTAGGATTGCTATCAAAACAGTAGACCCATTCATGACATTATAAAGTGAAGTAATACTTTGAACATATACAGAATGTGTTAGATATTAAAACAATATTAAACTGTTATATAATATCTGTCTAATGTGTTTCTGAAGGATTTTGAAAATTACATAGCTTAAATACTAATTTATACGTTTAAAATTGAAACACTTGAAAAGTTACATCGTACGATCATGTAAAATTCATGTAAACATAATGAAAAACATTTAAACTATGAATCAAATCATAAATGTTATGTCTACACATACCATAATTTATGTTTTAAAGATTTCAATAAGTTTTGAAGGTGAATTTTTTCATAAATTAACGTTGTTTGAAGAAACTAAGATTTGTTGTTATATACAGTGTACTACAAGTAATATAAACTTATGGTTTATTATAATATAATTTGGTAATTTTAGTTTGGCACACACCAGCACTCAATAAATATAGACGACTTAGAAAAGATAACTGATCAACACATTTTTTAACTTTTTTTATTATTTCAATTACCATATTACAAAGTACTCTAAAATAATTCAACAACTGCAGTATTAAATTTATTACATTTAAAATTTGATTAGCAAGTTTGAAAGATTTAGACACATCTACGTGAAATGTTCCCAATGAGATAATAAAATGTCTTATAATTTCCACTCTTTTGTGCAGACAACTCCACCTGTAGCTCTTCTAGATCAACTGCCGTCCCCAAGCTAACAAAAAGGAAAAGGGTTGGACGTAGTCTCGGCAACCCCATCCCGTAATATATATATATATATATATATATATATATATATATAATGGAAGTACCTATCTTGAGAACAAAACTTTTAGATCATAAGTTCACGTTGTTATTTAAAACCTTGTTACAAAATACTGTAGCTTAAATGAAAAGATTGGTTTTTATCTTTGAGAATAGTACAAAGTATATATTCACTTGTTACCAGTTTCTTCATGAGTACTGGTTTTTGACTGGAAATTAATTCGTAACACCGAAAAAATCTAAACGATTTTCTAATTCAATGTATCAACTAACAAAACATAATATTGATCTATATTTAACTCTCAATTTACCGATTATTTATACAGAATAAACAGTGCTTTTCTTATGTGGCTTTATTTTATCCATTGCTCTCCAATTTTTATTTTTGGTAGTACTTAGCTACATGAAATCGATATTGGTGATCTTGATGTTTAATATCAAAAGTCATTAAATTAACTTATTTACTACCATCAAATTTCGAAATACATATTTAAATCACTAAAGTTCCAGATTTTTTAAGTTCTGTAGTGCAATATTCTAATGTACACTGGTAAACATGAAGATTCAGGACTTCCTGTTTAATGATTTCAAACGTATGCTTCGGTTAAGCAGTGTTTTTGACAATCATAAGAGATAACTAAAACATATAACAATTCAATTTATCACTCAAAAAATGCTTACCAAATAACATTAAGAAATCCCGATAAAACGGTGCTATAAAATGAGCTTTCAATATAGCTAGATATGGTTTGAAGGTAGGAAATACTTTTGAAAAACCAGTAGCCTCTGTAGCAAAATTAATGAATGCTCCTGTAGCAAGTATTCCATGAGGATGAAATCCAACCAAATAATTGACATCTGTAGATAAACTTTCTTTAACCAAAGATTCTTCATTCATTTCATCATCATTTTTATAATCTTCATTATCAACAGTATGTTTATTAATAATAGAATTCATAGGATGGGAATGTTGTTTAATTTGTTTATAGATTTCATTATATATAATAAATTCTTTACTAATTACTAAATGTATTGGAAAATAATCAGCTAAAAATTCCCATATTTTTAGACAACGTATAAATTGTCTTGGATGTGAACCATGATTGTTTGAATCCCAATCACAAAACCAATAAATGGTATATATTATAAATAAAATAATAATAATTAAACAACGAACTTCATTTACTAAATTTATATTGAATATTGATAATTTATGATTAGTTACCATGGTTACATGAAAAGTATTTTGTATAAAAATAATTAAATTATTGATGATTAAATAAATTAAAAAGAATAATATAAATAAACAAAAAATACCAGAAAATAAAAATGTCATTACATATATATAAACAGCTGTATTTTGAAGGAATTCAATAAATAATAAATGATATAAACTTTTAGTATTTGATTGTTGACGACGTTCTAAAATCACTTCACCTTTATCATTTAATTTTATATGATTAATGAAAGAATCATTTTTATTGGAAGAATTTAAATTGACCACCATATTTAATTTTAAAAAAGAAGCGGTAAATTATATTCAATTTTCCAATTTCTTTTTAAAATAGAAAAACATGCGATTGTTTAAATTTGTAAGTATCTTTTGCTTTTTTATAATTTAAGTTTTAATAAACATGAATTAATGAAATAGCAACGAGTATAGAACTAACGATTTTAACCCCAGTAAAGTCAATTTAAACAAATTATGATAGGAAAATGGTTTACTTTTATAGAATTTTCCGAATATTCCTTATTTTTGAAATCCGATATTCATACTAGAATAGTATAGGATATTGAAAATAATTTTATAAACAGCGCAAAATTTAATCAATTAACATAGTAGATAGACTGAAATTTAGTATAAGATTAATAAAGTAGATTATGTAGTTAATAAAGTTCAATAAACTATGGACTTGATCATTTTTTTATTAAGATTGTTTATGTGAATGTGTAAATAAATTAACCAATCTGTGTTTATAATTCATCATATATAGTTTTGATCAAATCACTTTTAGGTTATTAACTATTTGATTTTCATAGCTGAGATCATGAATCGATTGAAGTTAGACCATCATAGACGGCCGTTTTATCCTATTGTGGGACTCCTCGGAAGTTTACATTCACGATCCCGCCTCACGAGATTCGAACCCAGGACTTGTCAGTTTCGTTAGCAAGCGCTTAATCTCTAAACCACTGAGCAGGCATCCAACGGTGTTGATATCGAATCTCGCGAGGCGGGATCGTGTATGCGCACTGCCGAGGAGTCCCACAATAGGACGAAATGGCCGTGTAGTACTTTCAGGTTTTGACTCTATTTATTATGTTATAAATTTTTTTAACATTCAGTAGGTTTGTGTTATTATTTTTAATTTTGAAACTTAAATTTTTTTAAAGTTTATCATTCAATATGAAATTACTTTTCTGCATTTTCTGTTGATTGATACCTTCAATTAATATGGAACTCGTTTCTATTTTGTCATCAAATGAAAAAGTTTACAGAACGCCTTTTTTAACTATTTATTGAAAACGTTTTCATGGGAAAGATTCAACATATTCATTCAACAAATTGAATAGTGTATGGCATAGTGATAAAGTTATTTAACCTGATCTGTAATGAAAAAAGAAACATTATAATATTTTCCTACCTTTGTCTTCCATAATTAATGTTAAATGACTTTCGAGTAGTACGTTTTCTCAATATGTCAATTAGGGAGATCACTCCAAAACTTTAGTGAGGAACTTGTCTAGCTTTCGCATATTTTTTCACTTATTGCCTGGATAAATCTGTAAATTGCAAGAAATATATTCTTTGAAATAACCACTTCACCAGTACTTACCAAAAGAAGCTACCTGAAAGTCACTAAAACTTCTTACTACTATCACAGAAAAGTTATATGTGAAATCCATGATTTGCAACTACATGTTATTTCTTCACGTCATTCTATTAGTTCTAGAGATGGTGTGCTCGGTCCTTGAGGAAGCTGTGGATGTCTTTATTTGATTCTCCTCAATATATTTCAGTGCAGTAATAAAATGTACTGATGTTGATTATTGGCATACATATTTAAAGATTTTATTGAAGAATCCTGAGAGTGAGAAAACAGATACTGTACATGGTTTACCGATGTTTCATCGCTAAACCAGAAACTTAAAAACATACACCACTGAACTCATATAGAGATAAAATTTCACTTGATAGCATTCACATTTCACTAAAATTTTACCAACGAACTATGTCAAATAATTTATTTCAAATAATTGTCGAATACGGAATATTTGATTTGGTTGTGTTGTATGTAGTATTTATTTTTAAACATGAGTTGTCAAAACATTTAACAAAGATGAATACTGCACTGTGGGTTGAAGATGGGTGGTGACGAGCAGTGGAATCCAGAACGTGCGTTCTGTCCTATTTGGGACTCGTGAGGTGGATGCGCCTGCATCATAGAGTTGATTTTCACTCCAGGACTTAAACCCAGTTCCGTTCGCTTCAAATTCCATCGCGTTATCAACTTTGTTACTGAATCCTCATAGGTGCTAGCTCATCCAATGTGGTGAAATTTTAATTCATTTTGTATTGTTTGTTTCAATGTTCTCATTGATGTCTAGGGTCAGTTTGCTTATCACATAATCGATCGTTGTTGACCACTAACCAGATATGTAACACATAATAGTAAGATTATTGAACACCTTCAGGGCTTATTCTATAAATCGGTGTGGAATTATTCTGAAATGCTAAATTGTAGTTGTAGTAAGTCAAGCTATTCTTGTTGGTCAAAATAGTTAGTTTCATAGCAATTATCTAGAGATTTTAGGAAATCAACTTCAAAATTCTATACTACTTATTATATTAAATGAAATCACCATCTCTAAACCTCAAAGCTACGTACTCAATGATTATTCAGTGAAATCGCTTTTGAAAGTGAGTTTTTAGGGATTTAATGTGAAACAACGGTCTGATATCCAACTTGATTCAGAAATGGAAACGCGAAATTTCAGAAATTCTTTTTAACAAGTTACAGCATGAGATATGGCAGAGCTAGAAACTATACTACATGAAAATCAATTACAAGAGTATGAAATAAATGAGAAACATAGTCAGAAAAATGACTGTTCAGAAATATCTCTAAGGATCTTTATAAGTGGATCCAGTAAAATAAATGCATCCAGTCAACCTAAGAGAAAGACTGCAGTCATTAGACTGGTTTATAGGACCGATAAGAATATACTATTATCAAGACATTGTATACACCACGCATAAACTAACTTAATATCAATACTGGTAATTCTATATAGGTTTCAGTGTATGATACAGAAAAATAGTCAAATGTATCTAAACATTCATTCATATTTTGCGATACACTGACAATGTGAAGACTAATTACAGATTTCAGATCTCAAGACAAGTTTACATAGGGTGTTCTTAGATCTATTTTCAAAAATATTTGGCTTAAATACCCAGCTCATTAATTTTCGATTGAATTCTCTCTCTCTCTCTCTCTCTCTCTCTCTCTATATATATATATATATATATATATATATATATATATAATCCATTCTAATACATATTTCGACTGTTTAAAGAGCGTTTTTTTGGATATAGAATAAACTTTTTTATTCAATATTTCTACTTTTATGTATAAGTGCAAATGCAAAATGCACCGGAAATTGGGAACATTATACATAAATGAAAAATTAATGTTTTTGTAACATTAATCTATTGATTGTATACATAATTTATTGATTGATTAAATCAAATTTTTTATCAAATTATTTTATTATCAATTCAATTCTCAACTTCATCTCATGGATTAAAAGTACTTAATCTAAAATTTTTAAAAAAAATTTGTTTAAATTAAATCATTGAAGCTTGAAATAGCAGTTTTTTTTACTTTTAAGTAAAGGATATTTAAAACAGGAGGGAACTTCATTTATTTTTTACATTTTCAACTTATATTGACGGTCTTATCTATTCATACGTGTGATTATGAATAAGTGGCTTGATGCCCGAACCATTAGACTCATAACAATTGGTATTCGGGTTTGAAATTTGATTTAACTGTTTTAAACTAGACAGATGGGATGAGTTGCTAACCTTGATACCTGGCTGAAAGCTGAGTATACTGCACAGAGTACACGATAAGCGAGTGTCGACACGATCGAGTTTTATATTGATCAATTTTATTAAAAAAATAAATTAGTAACTCCACCTGTAACTCTTCTGGAGTTACTGCCGGCCCCAAGCCCGGGTACAGGAGGAGAGTTGGGTATGGGGTTAGTGACCCTAACCCGTAGAAAAATAACCCGCTAAAAAGAACGTTGACCAGAAAAAATAATTCGAGCCATTTAAATTCTGTCTTGGGAGTTAAAGGAAGAATTATGACGCCTCAGGATGAAAGCCTACATCCTTCGGAATTCACGAGGCTGATGCCCCTTTCAGAGGGACAATTAACATACGTACATGGACTGTCCGGACAATGTCGGAGACCGGGAAGACCAGTCAAATAGCAATGGAAATGAGGAGATATTAATTAGCAGTTTTCGGAATCAGCGAAACCCGGTTATGAATATATCGTGGGACGACATGGACTGATTGACGGAAACGATCGATAATGGTGACAGATTTCCTAATATATGTGCATTCAATAAAATGTTTATAGGTGGAACAATACTCCCACACAAATGCATACACAAAAATACATGGATCTCATCGGATCACACTACAAAGAACCAGACCGATCGTATTTGAATCATTAAAAATTTCTAAAGGTCATTGGAAGATGTGAGAATCAATAGAGAAGTCGACATATATTCAGATCACCACCTGGTTGTGGCCAAGATGAAACTAAAACTAAAGAAGCATTGGACAACTGGACAAACAGCATCACAATGGTTCAATACAGCCTTCCTTCGAGATACTGACAAGCTCAACTCTCAACAACAGGTTCCAAGCCCTACAAGATCTACCGAAAGAAGAAGAAACTGCTATGGAGGACAGATGGAAAGGGATCAAAGAAGTATTAACTTTAACGTGTCAAGAGGTTCTGGATCGCGAGAAGACTCATCATAAGGAATAGATCTCTATGAAAACCCTAGACAAGATTCAGGAAAGAAAGAAAAATAACAGCAACCAATAACATTAGAAGAAAAACAGAAAAATTCAAGGCACAGGTCGAATACATTGAGGCAAACAAACAAGTAAAGAAGAGCATTAAAGCCAACAAACAGAAATACGTGGAAGAGCTAACAAAGACAGTGGAAAAAGCTGTAAGAGAATGAAATATGAAACAACTATATGACATAACGAAGAAACTTGTAAGGAAATATAGTGAGCCAGGGAGACCAGTCAAGAGCAAAAATGGAAAACCAATCATTGAAATTCAAGAACATAGGAAAAGATGGGTGGAACACTTTGAAAAACTCTTGAATAGACCAGCTCTACAGAACCCACCGGATATTGAAGCAGCAAACACAGACCTTCCTATAGATGTCACTCCACCAACGACGGAAGAAATCAGGATGATCATCAGACGAATCAAAAATGAGAAAGCAGCAGGACCTGACAGTATACCAGCCAAAGCACTGAAGTCAGACACACAAACATGTGCAAACATGTCCCATGCTCTATTCAGGTAGATTTTGGAGGAAAGATAAGTGCCGATGGACTGGAAAGAAGGATACCTCATCAAGATACCGAAGAAAGGAGAACAACAGAGGCATCACACCACTATCGGTATCAGGAAAGTTTTTCAACAGTGTTGGTGAAGCGGACGAAAGATTCAGTAGACGCCCAACTTCGAGATCAACAGGCTGGATTCCGTAAGGATCGATCGTGCACAGACCAGAGTGCGACACTACGGATCATCGTGGAACAATCAATTGAATGGAATTCGTCACAATACATTAACTTCATTGACTATGGAAAGGCGTTTAACAGTGTAGACCGGAAAACCTTATGGAAACTTCTTCGTCACTATGGAGTTCCCGAGAAGATTGTCAACATTATTCAGAGTTCATACGACGGACTATAGTGCAAGATGGTGCATGGAGGACAGTTGACAGATGTATTTCCAGTAACGACCGGAGTCAGACAAGACTATCTACTGTCCCCCTTCCTCTTTCTTCTGGTGAGTGACTGGATTATGAAGGCCTCGACGTCTGAAGGGAAGCACGGAATACAATGGACATCTCAGAATCAATTAGACGATTTGGACTTCGCGGATGACCTAGACAACCTTTCTCATACACACGAACAAATACATATGAAGACAACAAATGTAGCAGCAGCCTCTACAGCAGTAGGCCTCAACATACACAAAAGAAAAAACAAGATTCTCAAACACAACAAGGAGAATACCAACCCAATCACACTTAATGGAGAAACTCTGGAAGAGTTGGAAACATTCACGTACCTAGGGAGGATCATTGATGAACAAGGAGGGTCGGATGCAGATGTAAAGGCGAGGGTTGGCAAAGCAAGGACAGAATTTCTACAGTTGAAGAACATAAGGAACTCAAAACAACTGTCAACTAATTTGAAAGTGAGAATCTTCAATACGAACGTCAAAATAGTCAGTCCTACTCTACGGAGCTGAAATGTGGAGAACTACTACAACCATCATCAAAAGTATTTATAAATAGATGTCTACGCAAAATATTTAACATTCACTGGCTGGATACTATCAGCAACAGCGTTTTATGGGAGAGGATAAACCAGATTCCAGCTGAATAGGAAATTAGGAAAAGACGTTGAAAGTGGATAGGACATACATTGAGGAAATTACCAAACTGCATCACGAGGCGATCCCTAACTTGGAATCCTGAAGCGAAATGCAAAAGAGGAAGGCCAAAGAACACATTACGCCGGAAAATAGAAGCAGATATGAAAAAGATGAATAACAACTGGAAAGGATTGTACATGGCAGTGTTGGATGGAGAATGCTGGTGTGCGGCATTTACTCCTCCACGTGGAGTAACAGGCGTAAGTAAGTAATACGTGACAGTTCAAGTTATTAGTTTAAGTAAAACGATCCTAGATGAGTTATCTAATTGTCGATTAAACTCTTTACTCAACATCATAATTGCTATTTCATTTGTTCTTTTTGTGCTACAGTATACTACAGTGATTTTTAGTAAGTAAAAAGATGCTTATGTTCATGAATGTTTTCACATTGCTGTATTTATGAATTAACAGAAGTTTTCTGTCATCAACATTATGTAATTCACTTACTGAATTCGGTCAACTTTCTAGGGATTTAGTGGTAATCGTCATATCCTCCCTCCCTTGATTCAGAATTAACTGCACAAAATCTCATTCTCACATTCTGGTCATATCATTTTTCAAATGATGTTGTGGAGTATAGAAACATATCGAGAGAGAATCATTTTATTAGGTGTATGTGAAATAGGTTATTAAAATTGACAACAGATTAAAAACGAGGAAATTAACAAGGAATTTCCAAATTAAAGAATCATTTCAGCAAATATCGGACAGTAGTTGAAAGCGTTTGATAGAGGTCATTAATGATAACTTAGTTTTAATCTGTTAAAGTTTTACAGATAGCAGAATAAATCCACGTTTTGAGTTTTACAAAAGATCAGTAATATGTCCCAGGGCGTACTCATGACGACGAGACCTAAAAAGATCATTTTAATCGGAATTAATATGATAATTTTTTTTCAATATACTATTTAAATGTTTGGAAATGGACAAAGACAAGCTTTTTACTTAGAATGACTAAAATTACGGAATATCTATAGTATTGTCATTAAATAAACTGTCAATTTCAAATTCCATCAATTAGGTCTCCTGGTTAGAGTGCTATTTATTTTTATTTATTTATTTGAACACATAAATATTGGTACAAAGAGGCACCAGATATATAAGCGCCACACAAATCTCATTTGATTTGTGCGAGGGCTGTGATACTGCACGGGTGCCCAAACTGAAGTAGGTGGTTTTCTTAGGGGACCACACCCTGAGCCTTTGACTTAAATGCCTGATCCACAAGGCAATGAATCAACGTAAGGAGATGCAGTCCTATGATAACCAGTAACCGACAGTAGGTTCATACACAATTTGTTCCCTCAGGATACTGGAGCCCATGTGCACCATTTGTTTGGAATCAGGGTTTTCCAACTCCCCTAGGTAGACCCTCCATATCCACCCACCCGGGTAAAGCTCCGGACATTCGCTTTTCATCCTTTCAATTTCGTAAGCAACCAGTTCACCGCGAAAAGGCAGTGAGTAAGACTTCCCTTTCAGTGGCTGTATACGTGTGACCATGTGAGAGCATTTCGAGAGGGAGAGCGGACTCGTCCCACTCTTGGCCGTACCAGGGTATTTGGGGGCTATCAAAATAACAAAAACAAATTTCTTTCTAACCATTATCTGTCTAATTCTATATCAAAGAACAAACTAAAGATTATTTTAGTTAAAAAAAACATACAGATATCAGCACTACTGTTATCAATGATCAGTATTATTATTTCTAACTACCACCTACGCAAACACTTTCATTTGTTTTATTAACCAATCAAATTTTATCGTTCAAAAAGACATATATAAACAAAAATTGAACTATCATAAATATTTTATAACCAATTATTTAGTCATCATTATTATTCATTAAATAAAATGTATCATTAATTAAATCTCATTGTTTCTAATCATTTCACAGTGAGAGGATCATCCAAATCATTATTATTATTTCCATATCATATTGATTCTATATTGTATTCCTTTCTGGGTTTTTTTAAATTATTCACAATGTATAAATGTATTATAAAGCTATTTTCAAATTTCTCTGATCTTATTCAATTAAAACAAATCATATTTCAATTCTTAAGTGTTACATCATTTATTGTAATGTTTTTATTTGGTGCAACAACATGTTGGTTACTATGGTTATATTTAATTATTAAATTTATTAAATTATTTTATATAATTACTAATCAATTGATTATGAATAATCATAATATTATTTATAATCCTATGGAATTTATATATAATGAACAATTATTTGATTTATTTCGACAATTTATAACAATATTATTAATGATTACTATCTATTGGATCTATTGGAATATTGATAAAGGTTCTGAAGAAAAAGGTAGTCATCCAAAATATTTTATTAGAAATTTAATAATATGGAAATATATAGCACATTATTTTCCAATTAAACTTGTTATCAGTGAATTATATAATAATAATAATAAAGATAATGAACATGCAACTGAAGTGACCGAATCCAATATTATGGCTGATCAAAGTTGTGATAATAATAATGAGGAAGAAGATCAAAATTCAAATGATAAAATATGTACTCAAACAATTAGAAATAAAGAAGATTATCCTAAACATGAGAATAATTTAGCATGTATAAAAGAATTATTCCCTCCAAGTAACAATTATTTAGTTGGTTATCATCCACATGGAATATTTGGTATTGGTGCTTTTATTAATTTCTTAACGGAAGCTAATCAATTCTCCGAAAAATTTCCAGGAATTACACCATGGTTAACAACATTAGAAATTAATTTTAAAGCACCATTTTATCGTGATCTTCTTTTATCTTTTAGTAAGTTTATAATGAATTATTGCTTATTGACTTGTTTCTTTGTTAACATAATAAAAATGAGATATTACGAGGTTATACAACTTATTTGACTAACTCATTGAAACGTAGTTCCAAAATAAAGCCCTTTTGTAGCAAAAAATATCAAAGATTATGTGTAATAAATGTTTCTTGGTAAAAAAAAGGATGATTCAGTATAAAAATATTGAATTATAAGTAGCGAGGGGATGGTGGCTAGCAGTGGAATCCAGGACACACGTTTTGTCTCACTTAGGACTCGTCAGCCACCATCCATCTCTGCTTGAAACGCTTGTGACTTAAGGCAATATCGAGGTGATCCGCACAGGATGAACATATGCAGTCCTAAACATCAATGGGAACATTCAAATGGCCAATACAAAATGAGTTAAAATATTGAATATTATATTTATGATAGCATTCAAATACTAGTATGAGAAAATCCTATTAAACACTAGTCAATTAGCAGGATAAAGAGTATCAAAACTATAGTGAATGGTCACAAACTAAAAACTGATAATATATATTAATAAGCCTGTAACTTATTGATTAACAATTCACTAAACAAACATCATAGGTACAAGTCGGTTTCGTAGATGACAGTTTATTCCTGTTTTACCGCTAAATCTAATGTTGCTGAGTACAATACTGTGTGTGTGCGGATAAGTATAATTGACAAGCTTCATCCTAAAACGAAAAATTAAGTAGTATTGCCTAGTTTCCAATGGTTCGCAAGCTGATTTTAGTCTCTTATTAAAATTAACTTAAAATTGAAGAAATTCATGCCTGAATTTCAGGAAAAAAGATATACTGGTGACGAAGAAACTCAATTATCTTTTACAAAGTAAATTTAAATGCAACATGGTTAGAAACAATTCAGATGACGTCTTACGTGATGTTTATCTACCTTAATGTGGAAACCTTAATCTACAGAGTTATCAGACAAATTAGATCATATAAATAAAGTACAACATTACTTTATTTGGTAACAACGATGAGAATAACTAATGAGGTCTACATCTAGAGTTAGTGTAACAGTTGTTATCGGAATGGTACTGACAGTATTGATTACAATACTCAGAATGTATAAAATGTTGGTTTTAAATGCCTATCAAACTTCTTTAAGGATTTAATATGATTTGATTATGCCGAAACATCTTTTAAGTCACTAAGAAATATCGTTTTACATATAACCAATTTTCTTGAACAATAACTTTTTTTCCAACTTTGATTCTCTGAGTATGAGGGGGATAAACTACTCAATTAACCTTAAACTTTTTTTCCATGAAGAAACTTTAGAGAGTCAAAAAGTTGTTTAGATTTGAAAGTTTATTTAGATAAAAAATTAAACTGGTTTAACCAGAAAGCATGATAATTAATCCCATGACCATCTATCTAGTTCATGTATTTCTTTTGAGAATTAATTTTATAGAAATATTGACCAACGAATCAATACAACATAAAAATAACTTCCATTCTGTCAATATTTATCAACTACTTATAAAAGCTAATATCGTTTTTGATACAGGTAGCTGAATCGTTTAGTTAAAAACATTTTACAAATGTTACTGAAACCTTTTTATTTTTACGAAATTCACATTGTATTTCGTAATCAAACGCTATTGCTATTATTATTACTCTTCTGATGGGGTTTTGTTCTCTGAGCTGGATGATTTGGTCGTGGAGCTTTCGTCATCCCTCTGAACGACATCGTCAGCACAAAGTTCGGGTAGAAGTGCTGATGATGTCGTTCAGAAGGATGATGAAAGCTCCACGACCAAACCATCCAGCTCAGAGAACAAAACTCCATCAAAATCACCCACCTGAGCTACAAATCTTCTCCACCATCTCATTATTACTATTATTAAACAAATTTGTAAATGCGGAAGGAATATGACTAATTATTTGGATTACAAACAAATTAGTGAAATTGTTTTAACTTAACCAATGAAATTAAAGAGGTCAAAAGAAATATAACACTCAATATTAAATCCATTAAGAATGTTGTTTTCTTAATTCAGGCTATTGCACTGAAATAATTCGCGACAAAGCATCAACCAAATTCTCATAATGATAAAAAAAAGTATAATAATAGATGAAACATTGAAAATCATAATACTGAAACCATAAGACGTGACTTTGACATAATTGAATAACTTTCAGAATACGAGGACAGCGTTTACGTGATATATTCTACGAAAATTTATAGGTAATTACAAGATACGCATGCTGAACAATTATGGGTATAGCTCTAATTAGTTCAGTCACAAACTTAAGATATGTTGAATTTTCAATCTAGTTGGTAAACTTCAATTATTCGCATGGATGATACTTATTATGATCTTGCTGAAAATATGATTATCTCAATTTTTTTAAAAAGATTACTAGTATAGTTGATTATCATAGTAAAATTCTGTTGGCTCAATTTCCATAACTACCACATCAATTCATAAGTGGTAAAACAATGATTTATAGCTATTCGATAGTTTTTCAAAATGGCTATATATTTTCCTGAACTCTATTAAATATGCTACAAAAACAGAGGCTATGTAAGTATAGCGACTACTACTGAAGATTATGAACTCATTTCAATTTTATCTTGCATTATACTCTATGGCACACAGTAGTTCCTAATCGATAAGCATTTAGTATATATCTTTATTATTCTCCATCATGATTTGATCTTATTTACAGATATTAGGTTAGGTCTAAGGTTTTATTCGTTGAGCTCTACCTCACAGACTTGATTCATATTGATATCAGTAAAAAATCCGCCCCTGACTACAGTTTACTGAGAAACCATTGAAGATAATACAACAGCATTTCTACCATCAACTTAAACCTTTTTTATTACAGTTATATATATCAGGTAAGGGTTTGGCTGAGGACAAGACTGGACCATCAAAATAGTGTAGATAGATATCTGATTAGGATTTATTTATAATACAATTCAAAAGTATTCTATTACAATAGCCTCATCCTCTTTCAGCTTATATTATTTCAGAGGGAATATTACACTATACTGTATTATTTTTATTAACTGTTGCCCAGTTTAGCTTCAATTCATTGTTTTTATTATTCCTTCATATGCTAACTTGAAATGTAATCAATGAAATCAATTCCTAGTTTTGTAAGATTTTATGTGCCCCCAAATGCCCTGGTACGGCTGAGAGTGAGGAGATTCAGCTCTCTCTAGAAATGCTCTCATATGGCCACGCGTATATAGCCTCTGCCAGGAAAGTCGTACTCACTGCCTTCTCGTGGCGGGGGTATTGTTTACGAAATTGAGAGGACGAAAAGCGAATGTCCGGAGCTTTAACCGGGTTGATGGAAACCTAAAGTCCACCTAGGGGAGTTGGAAAACCCTGATTCCAAACAAATGGTGCACATGGGCTCCAGTATCCTGAAGGAATAAATGGCGTATGAATCAATCATTGATCACCGGCTACCATGGGACTGCATCCCATCACGATGCTCCACTGCCTTGTGGATCAGACCTTTAGGTCAAAGGCTCGGGGTGTGGCCCCTTAATAAAACCACCTACTTCAGTTTGGGCACTTCTGCAGTATCACAGCCCTCACACAAATCAAATGAGATTTGTGTGGCGCATATATATCTAGTGCCTCCTTGTAACAATATTTATGTGTTCAAATAAAATAAAAAATAAAAGATTTTATGTTTATGTATTTGTTTATCAACTATTTGTAATGTTTAGGTATTTCAATCTTCACTTAATATAACCTAAGGTAATTAAAATCGATAACCAATTATAAGTTTGTTCATTTATTTATTATTAAATTTATAATGATAATAATGACCTATATATCTGGTAAAATTAAATAATGAACTTACATTGTCTACAAATTAATAAATAAATTTTACACAACGACTTGATGTATATGTAGATATGAGAAATATAGAACAGAATTATAGATGTCTATATTATTATTATTTTTTAAATTAGATGAAATTTTCTCATATATAGTACGTATCAACGTGCAAATAGTCAGTTTTCTTACCTATTCAAAGTCTAAAACTAACAATATCTTGTTAAAATAACAGAGTGATTTTGGTTAAATAACCATTAAAAACCAGAAAGCACTAGACGACTATTTCGTCCTAGATTAAAACTCCTCTGTAGTGTATCTATCGCTTTACACAGGATTGATTTCAGGATATTTACATCTAACTGTGTCTCAGATACCATCAGGCTATTAAATTCGAATTCAATGTTGCCCATATTCTACTTGAACTATTCTTCAGTATATCAATAACGTAAATGTCTCATACTTTTTAATGATCGAAACCATGAGTTACGAAATCCATTAGATTCTTGCTAAACACCTATCGTTAGAAATACATAAGAATTCCATAAGGAATTAGGGACATAAAATACATGATAATATTTACTTAATCACACATCTGGCATCATCCCCGATAAGTATGCATCTACAGAGGTTTATGACATTAAACAAGATACCAAAATTATGAGTAATAAAACAAATTAATAATTTTAAAATTATTATTTTAGTATGTAGTTCACGTAAATACTTTATACATCAAAGTGTAATTATACTAAATTTTAAAAACTGTTAATAAATTAATAGCAGTAAGGTCGTTCTTAAGAAAAAAATCCTGTTCATATGTATCTGTACATCACTCAACACAAGTACCTCAAATGGTATATAATTGCATACACATCTTTGAATTCTAAAGACAATCCTCCCTCTATAAACAAATTCATTAGATAAACGTATTATTGGAGATTACTTGATTAATTTTTATTGGCCCAAACAGCTTCAGGACTGAATATTTCTAGAAGTGATCAAGTATACTATTATTACATAATCAATAAACTATGGATAGTGTTATCGCTTACACTAAGTTACTTGTTTTGATAATTATTTAGCATTAAACTGAAGGTGTGGATGCCCTTAAAATAATCTTTGATATGGTAATTTGTTGATTTTAAACGATAGATTATGACTGTTAATAATAATAATAAACGTTTCAAATCACAATCATGAACTATGAAAAGGTCGTGACGGTTGAGAGCTGTATCGGATACAGTTAAATAGTTTATTTAGCTCTTCCATTTCCCTGGTTTCCAAAACTTCAAAGTGGACTTTATTTCGTACTGAATTTTCCCATGATGGATGTTATTCGATTAAACAGACCAATATACTGACTGATTTATATTTTTTTGATTATTCAGATCTTGTAGCGGCAACATACAAAGGACTTTCATACCTTCTTGATCCTCAACAATGTGGAAATACAGGAAATTTCGTTGTCGTTGTTTTGGGTGGTGCTCCTGAAGCATTAGATTCACGTCCTGGAAAATATGTCTTCCACACTAATCGACGATATGGCTTTTTTAAGTTAGCATTAACGACTGGGTAAGTATGATAACAAATTATTTCAAAAATTTACAAACTGACGATATTGAATGTAATTCAAATATGCTACTTGAGGGTCTAGAAAGATATGGATTATACAATAATTGTAGTATTTACGAGAACTTTAAAATTGGGCGAATGAAAATCGCAGTCAGTCCGGCATTTTCCGATTCAGGTGAAATAGCAATTCAATAAAGACAATATATCTTCATTAAAAAGACAAATTATACTTTTTACAGTCATCTAAAATCAAAATGTATCGAGTCACTTAGTTTGGTGTAATTTGGTTGATGGAATCCACTTGCTACAATGAATAGAACTTGATATTAGTGTTCAGTGATCGAGTAGTAAATCGGAAGGGAAATGGGGATTTTTGAAACACTTTTAATTAGATTTCGGTGAAAAACAGCCACTAATTTTACTAGAACTAACGTAAAGGGATATTGGAGACAATTTAAGCTCAATTAGTGGGAAAACCTTATAATTATTTTCCTATTCTGAAAGTCCCAAACTGTTTGTTAGCTAATTAAATGTCTTACTCCTATGGTTTCGTTTAGATCGCACTTAGTACCGTGTGTATCGTTTGGTGAACCGAATATGTTTAAACAAGTGTACAATCCTGAAGGGAGTTGCATACGATACTTCCAAAATCGATTTACGGAAATGGCAACATTCTCACCTCCTTTCTTTTATGCTCGATTTTTACTGCCTTATCGGACAGATGTTAACACAGTCAGTAAGTTAAATATATACCATTTAAAATATTTTCGACTTTATGAAACAAAATAATCCAGTGGTCGCAATAAAATTTACTTAATATCATTAGTAATCTTTTCTAGCTATCTCAGACGAATCGAACAACCAGAGAGCCTAGTGAGGATAATCGCAATACAGTGAAAATTAAACCAACAGATGTGCCCAAGAGTTTAATTGGACGTTCTAAAATAGAACAGCTACAAACGCTAACACAACCCGTTGTCCAGTCGCTATATATTGTCATTTCAAAGTCGCTGAGATATGATTAAGGACTGGAAATAAGAGCCAGCAATACTTATTACAACTCACAAGTCTTTTTCACTTTAAACTACAAGGCTCCAAACTGATCGGTTGGCTGTCATGCAGTTTAATTTGAGTCTCGAAATTACACCCAGAATTCTCATATATTTCCAATAATACGAGACTAGAAGACAAACTACCGGGTAGTTGGTATAATGTCTACTGTCTGTTGTGGAAACGTACAATAAGTGGTATTCTGTGAATTATACCCTTCTTGCAAATTACTTCAACCAAAATGATTAATCTCGTTAATATACTAGACCACTTTATACTAGCTTTCAAAAAGAAAGAAGCCGAGTATATAAAACGCTCTTAATTATTATCTATACAGTCAGATTTTGTCTGTATACCTTAATCATTAACAAGAAAACTATGTAAAGTACATTTCATTGGAATATAGCAAAACTGGAATTCCATTAGTAATCTGACAGGTTGTAAAATCACTAGCTTTTAACAGAACACCAGATCAGCAATCTAGAAGACGTTAAAACCCACTTACAATACAAATACAATCTATAAACTAAAACTATCAAAATTATTGTTTAGATTCTTGTATCTTAACTACAAAATGTCTTTTTTCTACCAAAATAAAAAAGTTGGACGGCCAATACCATGTGAAAAAAATCCAAATCCAACAAGAGAACAAATATCAGTGCTGAAAGAATTATACCTAGAAGAACTTCGAAATCTTTACAATAAATATAAACCAATCTATGATCCAGATGGAGATCTAATGTTTGTTTGAAGCTGAGATAATCTTGTTTACGCGGTTTATCCTATTAGCCAGAAAAAAAACAATAAATATTACCATCTAGGACTTTATGATTCTGATTATTTTATTTATGACAATTATTTTTCAGTTTCAAGATGTACATTCATTTGAAAAGATTTTTCTTCTCTTTTCATTTCTTCTATGATCTCATGAGGAACAACTCGCGATATATTATAACACTGATAGGAAGTAAAAGACTAAATAATTATGACGGCTTAATCAAATCAATCGGTATTATAGTGTACCGTAGTCAATGTTAAAAGTCCTCGTAACCTTTATAAGTCATTGTTTAAGATGATAGATCATGTAGGTCTGAAGTTCGAGAGATTAGTATAGATTACTACTAGATTCTAGGAACAATAAGGGTGAACATCAAGTTTGTGTTTACTTACTGATTGACTTGTATTAAGTAAAAGGAACAAAATGCTTTCTCTATTTCGATAGAATAGTGGGAAGAAATTTGATAAGGTTCGAAATACTGAAAAAGAAACTTTAATCATTCAATACAGGTCAGTTCTACTAAGCGTTAACATGGTAAAGTATACATGAAAAATTAGCTGATGTGAACAAAATAAGGCATGGAATTAGAGTGCATCATAAAGAGTTAGTACACCTGTTAATGTTTAAGAAACTTAAAGCAATTAGTCCCTTTGATAAATTTCGATAATGTAATAAGAAGACGACGATTATCAGAACTATGTGATATATATAAATGTTCTTAACAAGTATATGTGTGATCAGATTGTTCGAAATGTATTGCGCTAATATATCACATAGTTCTGATAATCTTCGTCTTCTTATTACATTATCGAAGTTTAAGAAACGCTTTAAAGAGAATCCAATATATCAGGGTTACGATATTCGTTTCACAGTCGACCAACAATGAATGTATGAAATAAAGATAAACTGTGGAGTTCCGTTGCCTGCGTATTTAACAGCTCAAAGGCTTCAGTGGATAGTTATATTGTATGGACAATTAGGCAAGTTCATTGTAACTCGAATACCACCCCTTAAAGTTAAGTGAAGAACAGCCATCCATCTATTACCAAACAGATACGACTTCCATTTTTAATTTTCATAACTACACAATCACTAAGGAATTTGTGTTTATATACATCTTACGATAATGGATCCATCGTTCGATTGGTACTGATTTTATAATGTATGAATAAAGTTTATATGTAGAGCCATGGTGGGGAATTAAAATAATTTCTTGCCAAACCGGTACTTTCGATGTCTGAATTGTAATATCAACTTTATTGAAATAAAAATTTACGCACTGAAAAATAGTTTGATGACACTAAGATAGGAATACGAACAACATACTAGGTTAGACCTGCAATGAAAGTGACAATCTACGGAATAAGTATCAAGAGAAAATATTGGAATGAGTCTTGGTATGTGAACAAACAGTATAAAATTAGGTCTTACTGATTTAGGTTGTTAGCAATATATGTTAAACAAGTCAAACCCTTAAATTGTGGGATTGTTGAGAAATGTAGTGCTAGACTGAGTGGAAGAACCCCTATTTCGAAACCTATCTTAACGAATTACTTATCAGGTTGGATAAAAATAAGGCTTTTTATTAATTTGTGAATGAAGAGAGAGCAATGAGGAGCTCTTCTAAAGAGATACTCGTGTTACCGTTATCGACTATTTAGAAACGAACTCATAAAACTATCAATGAGATGAATGGAAAGGCTTTTGACCAAGATCAAATGAGAAATAACTATACAGATTAAAACAAATATCAACATAACACCATTTTGTTTATTATGTTATACAAGTTATTTAGATCTTTATATCGTTTAAATTTTTTGAGATTTGGGAGCTCCGGATGAACTTGTTTTTTGTACAGCTTGTGTTAACATTAATTTACCAATTGTTTGACCCGCCATCTGAGCAAGACTGTTGCAGTAGAAATCAAGCTGAGCTGAAACCAACGCAGTATCTAAACGTATTGGAGCCAACTCCCGATTACGTGTTTCTGTTGCGGTCTTGTGCAAAATAAAGAGAAGATTGTCAAAACAAACTTAAAGAAGCAATATTATACAAATAAAATCCACAAACAATACAGGAACAAAAAATCATGACTGGACAATACATAATTGAACAACAATCACCTAAAATAATAGGATTACTGCAGTTAATGTTCGCAAATCGGTGGTAGTACATTAAGTTGATGAATAACTGTGATCATCAAAATTGAATACAGACAAGATGTATCAGCATATCGCAATCTTGCTGACCTTAGCATATTGGTTTAAATTACTGAACAGTATAGATGAATTTTGCATGAAGCGTCGATCATGGTATACTCTTATTACATACTTGGTTATCATTCTAACGATTGTATTATAACGATGAATATCTTTATTATCAGCAATAAGGCAGGTTTAATGTTGGAAATTGTAATTAATTCGGAGCTCGCTTTGTTTAGTTACAAACACCAATCACGGCAAGAACTACACCACTAAGAGTACTAGTGTGTAAATAGTTAACAATTTACTGTGAGCGATCAGCAGTTCAACAGGTAAAAATAATAGCCAAAACTTAACCATTTGAGACCAAACAATTCGTTTACCCTTATGGTATTTCACAATCATATAATTTGGTGAAGGTACAAAATAAGTAACAAATTTTATTGACTTACCTTGCCAGCTACCGTAGTTTGAGATTTTGATAGACTACGCTGATACGAATACTGGTAATCATGTACTGTTTCTAAACCCGCAAGAAGAGAACGTAACTGTTGTTCTAAACTAGAGGCCATGCTTAAATTGAGAGTAGAATAACGACCAGGATGGTCTTTTGGAAGCGGTGGGGCCAGATCTAGCATTGATGAATTTGTAGAAAGCTCCGATCGCGACAGTTCTTGATTATCAACGATTTCAGTCAAAAGGATGTTTACGAGATGTGAATTATGAATCACAACTGGTATCTCTTCTAGAACACGAGTAAAACTACTGCGACCTACACTGCTTGCCGCTTCCTAGAAGTGGAAATTTTCAAACATGAGAAAATGATACAATGGGTATATATGCCTATTCTTTACACAAACGTGAATTTTTGTTGTTGGACGGAAGATAAGTGCTAATAGTATTGGAAAAGTTGGAAAAAAGCTTGTAAACATAAGCAGACAGATAACTATCATCACAAACAATGTTGGTAATCACCCCCCTAACTTAATAGGTCGCAAATGAGCTATATGCTTCCCGCTTTACTCATAATGTCGAACTTATATGTATGATCATTTTTATGATCTATAGTCTAGATGTTTGCACCAACTACACCACAGTCGATATCTGACAAACCAACAAAATGTTTCACACATGGGTCGCTATTAAATAAATCAATAAAAGAATCTCTTTATCGGGAACTGATTAAAAAAACACATAATTATTCATAGTGCAATGACTGTTAATATTGCATAAATAACAATTAACGTGTGTCTTTTAATTTCTACCAATTAGTATGTTTGTGCAAACAAAACTTAAAGCTGTTGGCAAAAGCAATGCAAATTACAAAGCGATCATGATCTACTAATAACTTGCATTGCGTAGCACAGAACACATGTAATATACATGAAACCTAACGAAAGAATACCTTGATTAGTATATGCCTCAAATGCCCTGGTACGGCCGAGTGGGGAGAGTCAGCTCTTCCTCTCGAAATGCTCTCACATGGCCACGTGAATAAAACCACTGCCAAGGAAGTCCTACTCACCGCCTTCTCGTGGTGGTGGTGTTGCTTACAAGATTGAGAGGACGAAAAGCGAATGTCCGGAGCTTTAACGGGGTTGGTGGACACCGAAAGTCCACCTAGGCGAGTTGGAAAACCCTGATTCCAAACAAATGGTGCATATGGGCTCCAGTATCCTGAGGGAACAAACGGTGTATGAATCAATCATTGATCACCGGCTACCATGGGACTGCATCCCATCACAATGCTCCACTGCCTTGTGGATCAGACATTTAGATCGAAGACCCGGGGAGTGGCTCCCTAGGAAAACCACCTGCTTCGGTTTGGGCACCCGAGCAGTATCACAGCCCACACACAAATCAAGTGACTTGTGTTGCACATATTTATTCTGTTCTACTTTGTACCAATATTTGTGTTCAAATAAATAAACCTGAAAATTTAGCTTAGCGAATGTAAGCCGACACAAAGGCTTAATACTCCTTTGGAATACAAGAACGATTAGATATTTTCCAACGGACTTTCCCCTAGATTAGTTTCCAATAAATTAACCAAACAAACGATACTATAAAAAGTGATAAGTGACAATTATGCAGAAGCTAAAACACAAATCATAAAAACAAAGTGATACATAAACTTACACATTCCCATGGGACCTCAGGACCCTATAATTGAAACAACAAAATGGACGTTATTAGAGCATTAGTCAAACAATAGAATGCTTCGCAGTTCTTAACATTCCCAACGTAATACTAGAGACACGTCTAGAGCAGTGGTGGTTGTGCTAACAGCTGTTACATGTTTAAGTCACCTTGAACGTGTTGCTCTTAATAACCAAGTTGATTGAGACGTTCCGAACGAAACAAAAAGGACTTTAGAACTAACTGCTTACTATCTGAGTGACACAATACTGTGATACATTATATCTTTTGGACTTCAATCTAAGATGGCCATTGAAAATCTTGGAGTCTAAATTTCATTTCTGTGTGAAGTCAACAAAAATGTATAAATGGAGTCCGAAAGAAAATCATCCATTTTTTCGGTTTTTCAAACCGCCTTTATTCAGTCAGTTAACAGTAACGTCGAACCTCGCATATACGTGAGTTTGCCCAAATTCATATACCGCATTAACTAACAAAGTGTATACCAAGAGATTGAAACCATACAGTAAAAGTAACAACAGAAAAGACTAATCACTAAAAACAGGTTTAAGAAGCAGAGTGGAAAGGTATATATCAAGAAGTACTGAACTTTAACGATGAAAGGAAGACAAACAGTGGATGAATCTATCTCGTTAAAAACAATTCTGAGTCATAACACTATAAGATTACAACCACCGATCACCATTATTGCACAGACACGAACCACATAGTCCGAGTCTACTTACGCTGCTTACACCAACAGTTAATGACTTCATGCACTGATACAATCTCTTGATTTGGCCACCCTCACTTTTCGTACAACCTACTCCTACACCAGTGAACATTCCTCGTCGAGGTAGATGGTGGTTAGAGATACATAGGACATATACTAACCAACTCAGTCGGTCAAGATTTACAGCCTCATTAACTGATTTGTCACCGTTGCCTAGTACTCTATACCTAACTTCAAGATTGCTCGCTCAGTTGTTCCACGAAACATGAGGAATACTTAGAAGATACCAATAATTAAAAGCCTACAGCCTACGCGTGCTTTGCAGTTTCAAAGAGGATGTTTCACAGTCATAAAGTAATACAGACCAGAACGGTGTACAATAAACCGGCTTTTTGATCGAGAGAAGGAAATTTTGTCTATGCCACAAATGACGTAATTCGGCAAAACTAAGAGTTTTCTGAATCCGTACCGAGATTGTCTTAGATCAGCCCACCATGGATGGCGATAAATGAAGAGGTTCACAAGATCGACTACTTCGCTCTCAACTATTAGTTTGAACTTTGATGTAGTCCAGTCATGGAGCGACATTTTCAATTTAGAGGGAGAAAAGCGTATCACAAACTTGATCAAGGTAATCGGACGACTGCATTTTGTCAGCGCCTTCACCAGACAGAACCCTTATCTCATTTACGCATTCTCCGTCAACAACAGAACCTCCTAGTAAGAGACCAACCCTTGAAAAGTTAGACGAGAGTGTTCTCAAGAAGAGGATATCTATGACAAGACCAACAAAAAAGGAAAATGAGCAATACTGGCGAATATCACGAGAGGTTAGGAACTCTATTGAAAGTTCCACTTAAGTTTTAACTTGCTCAATAGTGTTTGAACGGAGAGACTTCATTAAGTTTACGTACTTCTTTAACACTTCTTTCAATGATAGACAATCACAAAACCTCTCGGGCAAAAGAGACGAATAGCACCTTGAGGTCAAGAAATATCACTATAACTGAATGTCGGTAGGTATAGTTGTTTTAAAACCTGACCAAAAGTTGATATTCAGTCAAAAGATCAGTGCTCAGGTCTAAAACCGGGACGATTTTCCAGGGTTTGTTGTTCACGAATAGCAGACAGGCGTTAAATGATCATAAAGGTTAGTATTTTAGACATTATGTCGGTCTAATAGACTCCTCTGTTGAATAGATCAGGAACAAGAATTGAGAAAAATAAATTGAATTCATTTTAATTCGTTAGGTTTTCATCAGCTGCTTACAACATATGATACTGAAAATCAAAATTATTGTAAAGTTTACTTATAAGAGTAAAAGTGGTTATGTATCACCATATTGGAGTAACGAGAGTGAAAACATATAATGAGTGTTGTGGATAAATATATGTAAGAGAAGATTATGGATTACCAGACACAGTAACAAATAATCAACTGATCACAGAAAACCGAAATCGTACCCATTTATTGCCTTAAATATGTGTCGTTGCTCAGCTGCTCTGTTTCTATAGCATACATCAGAGTTATAAGAATGATCACTTGCTGAAACAAGTAGCTTTATATCAATAGCTAGCAGCCATAAGCCAAATATAACCATCGAGGTAGAAAGAATTAAAGATAAGGCATCGGATTATTCCAAGGCAGGTTTGAAGGCAGAAGTATGTTGCATCTTCACGACGCCATGAAAATGGCGAGTAAAGCCGCTTGCGGCTTCGCGAAACGTCGCGCTTACAAGCACTGGGTTTCTTCTGGCTCCTTACAACTGATGGAAGCCCGTCGGTCTACTAGGTGGACACGGAGGGTCCACCTAGGGGAGTTGGAAAACCCTGATTCCAAACCAATGGTGCACATGGGCTCCAGTATCCTGATGGAACGAATGGCGGAAGAACCTGCTGTTGGTCAACGGCAACCATGGGACTGCATCTCCTCACGATGCTCCACTGCCTTGTGGATCAGACCTTTTGGTCAAAGGCTCGGGGTGTGGTCCCCTAAGAAAACCACCTGCTTCGGTTTGGGCACCCGGGCAGTATCACAGCCCACACACAAACAAGTGAATGAAATTATGAACTCTATTGACGATATCCCTGGTCATACTAAAAGCAAGACAATTAACATTATTATTATTATTACCTTTATTATTATTATTATTATTATTATTATTATTATTATTATTATTATTATTATTATTATTATTATTACTTACCATATCGCTAATTCACCCCCTTTTATCCCCAATTTGTGTAACCTTACTCTTCAACTTATGCAGCAGCTCGCTCTTGGTGGAAAATCTGTCCTATCTAAACGATCTCCAGTCACTGTCTGGTTGAAAGTGAATGCTTCCACCGATTATGAATACTGAGGCAGTCTTTCTGAAACCACGTACGCCGTTCAAGCTGGCTTCCTTCAACGTTCGCACACTAATGCAGATCAGACAACAGATAGGGCTGGCTATGTCTTTGGAAGGTCTTAATGTTGACGTTTGTTGTCTATCCGAGACCCGTATTCAAGACTCTAGTGAAGTACTACAAATCCGCTCTCCATCTGTCGCCTCGAAAAGCTTGTTCCACGTGCGCTTATCCGGGGACCCTGTGGCATCTTCGTCTGGTCTTGCTGGCGTTGGTGTCGCACTAAGCGCTAGAGCTGAGGCAGCACTAATCGATTGGATCCCCATTAACAGTCGGTTATGTGCTGTTAGATTAGAAAGTTCCATCAAAGTGAGAAGAAATCGGCGTGAGAAACGGTGTCTTTTCGTCATCTCCGCCTATGCCCCGACAGATTGCAGCCCGGATGCAATCAAGGATGAGTTTTACCATCAGTTAACAGTTCTCCAGAAAGCGCGTTCGACAGATATTGTAGTACTAGCCGGAGACTTGAATGCACAGGTCGGGCGTCTAGGCACAGAAGAGAGTCGTCTAGGTGGCCGATGGGGACTTGTTGGTCGCCGGACAGATAACGGGGACCGTTTGCTGCAACTGTGCACAGACCACAACCTGTTTCTGGCCAGCACTAACTTCCGGCACAGTCATCGCCGGTGTGCCACCTGGCGTCCTCCCTCTGCATCCCAAGCCTGGACTCAGATTGATCACATCGCGATCAGCTACCGCTGGCGTGGTTGTGTACAAGACTGCCGCTCCTTTTGGAGTACCTATCTGGAGTCTGATCATGCCCTGGTCTGCGCCAATCTCAGCTTACTTTTCAGTGGCCGAGGGATTGACCACCACCAACGGATTGATATTAGTAAACTGGCTGCAACTTCTGTTGCAAGTAAGTATCGAGCTGAGCTAGCCTCTAGGCTAGCTACCACCCCACCGAAAAGTATAGATGAGCATTGGTTGCATCTTTACGACGCCATGAAAATGGCGAGTAAAGCCGCTTGCGGCTTCGCGAAACGTCCCGCTTACAAGCACTGGGTTTCTTCTGGCTCCTTACAACTGATGGAAGCCCGTCGGTCTACTCCGGGTGACCGTGAGTTTGACCACAAACGAAGGCTGTTACGTAATGAAATCGGGCAAAGCTTGTGTAAGGACCGGGAAGCCTGGTGGTCGGAGCGTGCTAATGAGATGGAAGCAGCAGCTGCATCTGGTAACTGCCGGAAGCTCTTCCAACTCATCCGAGCCACTGGCAGCAAGAAGTCTGGTGTGAGTGAAACAATCTACGAGGATGACGTGATGCCGATCACTAACATCTGTCGACGTCTTGGACGATGGGCGGAATTTTTCGAAGGGCAGTTCAATTGGCCTGCTGCTCCGGCAACATCAACCAGCTTGTCCTGCTCCCCATGGCCGGTGACGACTGATCCACCAAACGAGGCGGAAGTCCGCAAGGAACTCCAACTCTTGAAACGTTATAAATCACCTGGCCCAGATGACTTACCTCCGGCTCTTTTTAAAGATGGTGGTGACTTTCTGGCTAAGGAACTGACTGCGTTGTTTGGAAAGGTTTGGGAGCAAGAAAGTGTTCCAACATCTTGGAATGAGTCAATAGTCGTCCCTATCTTTAAAAAGGGTTCACGTTGTTCCTGCAATAACTATCAGGGGATAAGTCTACTTCCGATTGCGTACAAACTATTGGCCTCTGTCATTCTTCGTAGGTTGTTTAAAACCCGAGAACGATTGACTCGCGAGGAGCAGGCTGGTTTTCGTTCTGGTCGAGGATGCATTGATCACATCTTCACCCTCCGCCAAATGTTAGAACACCGTCATACTTATCGCAGGCCAACAATCGTAGTGTTTCTTGATATCAGGGAGGCCTTCGATTCGTTGGACAGGACTGTTCTCTGGGATTGTCTATTGAAGAAGGGTGTGCCTGAGAAGTTCATTAACATCTTAAAGGCCCTGTATACGAACACCTCAGGCAGAGTGAGGGCATACAACCACCTTTCTCCCTTGTTCCATTCGAGCAGTGGGGTTAGGCAGGGTTGCCCGATCTCCCCATTCCTCTTCAACTTTGCCATCGACGACATCCTAGAAACAGCTCTGATGGATGTAAGTAATGGCGGTGTGGATATGTTGCCTGGAGAACGACTTCTCGACCTTGAGTATGCGGATGATGTCTTACTGTGCGATAATGCCCAAGGCATGCAATCAGCACTTAATCAGTTGGCAATCAGTGTCCGCAGGTACGGCATGTGCTTTGCACCCTCCAAGTGCAAAGTACTTCTACAAGACTGGCAGGATTCTCATCCTGTACTCACCCTGGATGGTGAGGAGATCGAAGTAGTTGAGAAGTTCGTGTATCTAGGTAGCTACATAAGTGCTGGTGGTGGCGTGAGTGATGAGATTGATGCACGTATAATGAAAGCCAGAGCGGCTTATGCCAATCTGGGCCATCTTTGGCGCCTTCGTGATGTTAGTCTGGCTGTAAAAGGTCGGATCTACAACGCGTCGGTGAGAGCAGTTTTGCTCTATGCTTGTGAAACCTGGCCTCTCCGAGTTGAGGATGTTAGACGTCTCTCTGTGTTCGATCATCGTTGTCTCCGAAGGATTGCTGACATCCAGTGGCAACACCATGTTAGTAATGCAGAGGTTCGGCATCGTGTGTTCGGGCGCAGAGACGATAATTCAATTGGTGTCACCATCTTGAAACACCGACTTCGGTGGCTCGGACATGTTTTACGAATGTCGTCCCAGAGACTTCCGCGTCGTGCATTATTTGCCGACCCTGGGACTGGTTGGAGAAAGCGGAGAGGAGGTCAGTGTATGACATGGTGTCGTGGCATGAAAGAGAGCTGCAAAGGGCTAGCTTCTGTTGGTCCTTCACGACTCCCTGGTTGGGGTCCGAGAGATAGTGCAACACAGTGGCTAGAGACGTTATCGGATATGGCTCAGAATAGAAGCCAGTGGCGATCCTGCTGCAACCTTCTTTTACTTTCTACATAAAGAATGGTTCTAACTTTCCTAACTGAAAGAATCTCCTGGTCGTACATTTTAGCCCGCCTTATCTTTTCATCCTTTATCTACCTACTTTCATTATTTTGTGTGGCGCATATGTACCTGGTGCCCTTTTGTACCAATATATATGTGTTTAAATAAATAAACAAATAAATAAATAAATGTGAACGAATCAACCGGACGTCGAAGTGGAAACCATTTATGCATTTTGGCTTGCGTCAGTTCGCAATGGAAACGCCAATGACTCATGCACAAAAGTTTGTTATTCAAGTTAAAACTGCTCACTGCTTGTAACTTCCTCATTTTCTTACAGTAAAACATGTCATAATCAGATGCTGTTTCCTTGTTGGCTAAAAGACAATTCACCTACTACTGGTTTAACTAGGCAATTATTGCATTAGTCTACTTATGTATACCTAGGATCAGCGTATAACAGTGAAGAAAGCAAAAAGAACCGTACACGAATTCAGATGTTTACCACGAAACTGGCAAGGAGCAAGTTTTGTCACACGACTAAGATAGAGTTTAGTTAAACTACACCAAGTTTCAAACGCAATAATTGTCAGACTAGTCAAACACATTAAGGACAGAAAGGCGGAATGAAAATACTGACAAACCTTGTGGCCCATCAGACGAAAACGATCTTCAGCCTCGGATCTTGCAGCAAGAACATCGTCAGACAGACGATACGCTTTCAGACCAATTTGACCTCTGCTAGTTCTTGTTGGGTCATAAGTCAGCAACACAGATTCAGGGAGATTAATTTGACGTTGATAAATGTTTTCAATGTTAGCACGGTTAATAGAGATGCCCCCAGGACCAGCTTGATAAAATCCTACATTGAGGTAGTCTGTTTGTAGCTATATGTGTATTGAAAGATCTTCCAGAACTTACTTGTCTTAAATTACGTATCATATTAGCTTCATAAGTGACCAGAGCCTCGTTGGCATTTGGATCATCTTCTTGAGTCTTCGGTAATGGGAAGCAATTAGTGATTTCAAGTTGACTGCCTTGTGCAAGCCCTAACAATACACCATTGACAAAGTTTTGGCTAGATACAGATTCTTCTTCATAGTGCTTAATCATTTTTAAGAACACCTTTCCTTCGACCTGAACTCTATCAATAGGTTTAGAAATTTTTGACTGAAAATCCATGTTTCAGAGTATAGCCACCAAGGTGTAACGTTCTTAACAGAAGAGCCGCTCCGTAGTTTCATCCATATAACAACTTTTTCAGGTAGTTCAAATGGTTGAGGACGGCAGAGAAGTTTTCACCCAATTAAGTACCATAAAATCACTAATGACTCTAGATACGGACCAAAATGTACTTTACTATATAATAGAGTTGCGCGCTATTTAAAAAGGACAGTGGTATTTTTCCTCGTTGAGTAAATTCTATTGTTTTGATCGTTATTAACCTATCAAGACTACTGTTTTTATACTTTGATTGACTTTCTTTCAGTTAAAGTATTCTATTAGAGTATTATCTTTGGTATCCTAAATAGTTTTATCGTCGGTACTCCAGAGTACCTTTGTTTTTTCTATTGTGTCTGTTAGTACTTTAGTCCTAACTGTTTATAGTTTGTTTTTTTCTACTTGTAGTCAACACTCACTTTCGCATCCTAAAATGACTGGAAGATGCAACAAAAGCATTTGCCACCGCCCAGGATGTCGATATCCTGTTGATAGCGGCATGCAGTGCGATGAGTGCAAAGGTTGGTACCACGATGTTTGCACGAATCTAACACCTGCAGCTTTCAAGCGGTTCAGTAAAAATGGGTGCGTATGGCTATGTCAACAGTGCTGTTTGGATGCAAATAGCCTGTTAACCGAGGCCATCTCAATAGTAAATGCCGCAAAAAAGTGTCTCGGCAAGCGCGGTCGGGATACATCAGTCAGAACTCAATCTGTCGACATGCAGATTGACACAAGGCAGGCCCAAGTGAGTCCAAAAACTGCCGACCCACACTCTACTAAGGAGGAAGAACATCCTTCAAAGAGGACTGTTACAACCAGAAACTCGAGAAAAAAGTCTCTTCTGTCCCTCGTATCAAAAATGGTACCCAGAAGGGAACTTCCGGAAGCCGAAACCGCAAGGCTCGATCGGTTTCCAGTGCGAAAGATGACCCAATCTCCCAAGTCGTCCTGACTCTTCCGGAATCCCACAGTACGCCTGACGCGAATGTGGTTACCAATCCAAAGAACGTTGGCGATTGGGTACGGGTCGTAAGAAAAAAACTCCAAAATGACGTAAAAGGAAATCATACCTCCACCAAAAGGGTCGACAAGCCGAGGTCTGATCACATCGACAGATCAGTCATTCTCCATAGAGTCAAGGAGAGTGACAACTTAGAACCGAAAGCTCGTTTTGAGCATGACATTGTGTTGATAAAACAACTACTCAACCAAGTTATGCCCAAAAACATCCCTGGAGTCACCTTGCTAAAGGTGTATAGACTAGGAAATCTAGCGCATATGAAACAAAATCAGTCTAGACTACTCAAAGTCGTTTTCAAATCCTCAAACGAACGCGACTTAATCTTAGAAAATGGACACAAATTTAAGGGTTCAGGAGTTTTTCTCTGTAAGGACTTACCGTTGGCGGACCGTGTTAAAAGACGGGAAGCCGAAAAGGAACTACAGCTCAGATTAGACGCTGGCGAAAAAGACCTGAAAATTGTAAATTTTCGGGTTGTGAAGCTTCGACAGAGGATGATGACGAGGCCACTCTGGGTGAAGCACGGGGCCACCTAAATAGGCTTCGGATCTGTTATACCAACGCCCGGAGCTTACTAAATAAGCTACCGGAACTAGGTGTACAGATTGACTCAACTAGGCCAGACATAATCGCAGTCACAGAAACATGGCTGACGCCGTCTATAGATATTAGGGAACTTGATTTCGAGGGTTTTACATTGGTAAGGGCCGATAGAATACAAATGCGTAAAGGAGGGGGAGTAGCTCTATTCATTAGGAATGCTATTCCATTCACCATTATCGACAGTGTATCCCATGAGAGTGGGACGTATGAATTAGTTCGCTGCCGCCTGAAATGCAGGGGACAAGAGTTGCTACTTAGTTTGATCTATCGCAGTCCAAGCTGTGAGGCAAACGAGGTCCTGCTAAGCAGTCTCAACACTTTATCACGTAGTGATCGATGTCTAATCCTAGGGGACTTTAATGCACCCATGGTGGACAGGGGAAATCTGCGGACTGAATCGTCAGCAAACTCCTTCGAACAGGAACTAGTTGATGCGGTAATCACATGTGCCCTAGTGCAACACGTGAAGGAAGCAACTAGGTACGACCCGGGTTCTGCATCATCCTTACTAGATCTTATATTGACTCATTATGAGGATGATGTTGCAAACCTGGATTACATGCCACCCCTAGGTAAAAGTGATCATGCAGTTTTAAGCTTTGACTTCCATATAACTGTCGATCACGAGTACGCTTCAGCTCAATCCAGACCTAACGTCTGGAAAGCAAACATACCAGACATCATGAAATCAGCATCATTGGTAGATTGGAAATTAGACCCAGAGTCATCAATCGAAACGGCTTGGAACATATTCCGGAATTTATACTTAAAAGTTACCACCCCCTACATCCCTTGGACTACACCTAAGAGACCGAGAAACTCCCCACCGTGGTTCAGTAGGGAGGTTCGCATCCTTCTCCGTAAAAGAAGGAAAATGTGGGACAGATTTAGGTTACTGGGGACTGACGAGGCAAAATCTCAGTATCAAAAGGCTCGAAATACCTGTGCCTCGACCCTCCGTAAGTCCAGAAAGCTGCACGAAGAGAAAATCGTTAGGGAATCCATAGAATGCCCTAAACGCTTGTATTCGTATATAAACCAAAGGACAAAAAGAAGAAGAAATGTTCCTTCACTATGGGGAGACAGTACTACCACATCACTAGTGGAGGATGACTTTGGCAAAGCTCAAGTATTCTCTAAATACTTTATCGATGTATACACCATAGAAACACCCTTCTCACCAGTCCATGAAAATCCACCCACACTAGCACTGGACAGCGTAACCATTAAAGAACTCGATGTCTTTGGTCTGCTAGTTAAGCTTGACATAGGTAAATCCACTGTACCCGATGGACTGCATCCTAGGTTACAAAGGGAATTACCTAACTTTGTTGCCAACCCTTTAAGTGTATGTTTTAATCTATCCGTAACCCAGGGTCGTCTACCAAAAGACTGGAAGAACGCCATAGTAAGTCCAGTTTTCAAAACAGGTACAAGACATAAGCCTGAGAATTACCGACCAATTAGCCTGACTAGTGTGGTTGTTAAAATCTTAGAAAAGATTATTCGGAAGGAACTGTTAAAGTATCTCGATGAAAACCGGATCCTCTCCGAAAAGCAGCATGGTTTTAGAACAGGTTACTCTTGTCTCACAAACTTATTAGTCGCTCGTGAAGGCTGGTGCGCTCTTAAGGACCAAACATTACCTATAGACGTAGCTTACATCGATTTCAGCAAAGCTTTCGACAACGTTCCGCATAACCGGCTGTCATATAAGCTAAGGAATGTCGGGATTGGAGGCAATCTATTGATGTGGATAAAAGACTTCCTAGTTGAGCGTCAATAAAGAGTAAGGGTGAACTCCAAGTTGTCTATTTGGGAAACTGTGCTTAGTGGAGTCCCCCAGGGTACAGTTTTGGGGCCAGTGTTATTCCTCCTGTACGTAAATGATCTCCCTCGTCTACTATCGTCATCGGTCTTACTCTATGCTGATGATGTCAAGATATGGAGAGCGATACAAAGCAAGGGCGATAGTTTAGAACTTCAAAATGACCTGGAGAGATTATCTGAATGGTCCCAAACCTGGCAATTGCCGATAAACACTTCCAAGTGTATTGTGATGCATATTGGCCACCAGGGTACAGATACATACACGATGAATAACACTGAGTTACCTATTGTTCAGGCACACAACGACTTAGGCGTCATCGTCAGTCAAGACTTAAAGACTACTGCGCACTGCCGTGCAATAGCCGCCAAAGGTTTTAGGACTTTATGGTCCATACGCAGGGCTTTAAGGCATCTTGACGCTAAAACGTTTTTGACTTTGTATACAGTGTTCTTGAGTACTTGAGTACTGTATACAAGCAGCTAGCCCCTGCCTAAAAAAAGACAGTGAACTCTTGGAAAGGGTTCAGAGAACAGCAACTAGGCTGATTCCCGGAATAGCGAAGCTCCCGTATGGTACTAGACTGACCAAGCTAAACCTATTCTCGCTGTCATATAGAAGAATCAGAGGTGACTTGATTATAGTTTTCAAATTGCTTAATGACAAATTTGCGCCTGATATGCCCTCATTTTTCTTGTCTTCCAAAACAGAAAATCTACGAGGACACTCCAAAAAAAGTTCAGCTGACTACCGACTTTCCCATCGAATAATCAACGAGTGGAATTCATTACCTCAGCACGTGGTTGAGGCTCCTTCTGTCGACTCCTTCAAAAGAAAGTTTGATCAGCTGAGAGACCATCATTGCCAGGACTAACACAGGCCATCAAGCCTCCTGTCCTTTCCAAACTGAAACTGAAACTGAGTAGTATTTACTTGTTGAGTAAACTATATTTTCGATTTTTCGGGCAAGACAAACCTTCCGTCTTTTGATCGGATATAGTTTCCGGTTAAATTATCATGATAATATTCGTTTTTCATTGGTATCTGCTTCAACATGGTTTTTACCTTTGCCTATTTCGTAAGTACATAGAACTAAATATGACACAGGCATTCGAAGTTAGACAACATCTTTACACGTTGTAGGGGCAATGAAATGTTACTGAGCCCTAGTCAAATCATCCGTCAGTCGGGTCACTGAATATCGAACAGATCATCGATCCATGTCAAAGTCGAAGACAACTAACGTGCATTAGTTAATCTTATAAAATGGACGAGCCTATGCGGTGGTGGCCTCACTATCTTCTTTGTACTCGTTCTTACTCATATATATCCGTAGTAGTGTTCTTTGTGTTGCACGGTCTTTAAAGCATCCATAGTACCTAGACACAATGAAGGGGCAATCCACGTTAGATAGTGACAGCGAGGTGTGACTTCGAAGCTAGCTGGTTCGTCACACCATTCCTATCTAACTTGAGAAGCCACCAATCGTTCAACAGAAATCATTTACGTTGGTGATCTACAACGTAAAACTCTCATCGTCGAAGTATGCCAACCCGGTCTAATCAGAACTCAGAAATAAAAAGCTTCAAAGATATATTTGAAAGGCTATCGATATCTCGAGATGAGTTTAATCTAAGCTAACGGTTGTAGGAGATGCGTAGCACGTCATGACCACTGGTATCTGCTGCAGACGCGTATCTGAACTCTTTCGGATGAGGTG